TCACGTGCCCTGATTTAGCACGTACGAACACATCTGCGCCTCACTCGGACATCATAGGCTCTCTACATGTCTCGAGATTTATTTATTGTTCCAACATCTTCGGACTCATTCATCAATGACTTTTGATTTGACCGGCATTGTGATCCTTTGACTATGATGGTGCTGAGTATAAAATCGTCATCAAACTCAATACACGTGACATCTTTGGGGTAGCTGTCAAACTCACCATGGCCACTGAAGTCTCTTAAGCACGCCATTTTCGTTACAAGCTTCCGAGAGGCTTGGAAACGCCCCGCAAAGCCATGATGTTGACTCAAATTGAATAGTTTGTTTACCTTTTTTTGCAATAATACTGGATATGTTGTCTGTAACTGACATACAGAGATCCTCAGAGATAACGGGGATAAACGAAGTAGAAACAGACATCAGTAACCCAAAAATTGTGTTTAATATAATGAAACTGAATCACTGTATTCTTTCTCGTTGAGTTAATTAACTGTTTTGATCGTAAATTACGCATCAAAACTACTGTTTACACTTTAATTGCATCTACCCCAGTTAAAGTGATATTTTATTGAGTTTTTCGATTTTGCTTCTGTGTATTTATTGCATCGAAGCATACTTGGTCGACTTTTACTTGGTTTATTTAGTTAAGGTTTGAAAATCCTTCTACATATCCTGTTTTTGTCACCGTTCTAGTTGATTTTCAAGATGGCTAGGTCTACTCATAAATGTGGACAACCATACTGCTTATTTCCCGTGGATGAAGGGATGCAATGTGATGAGTGTAATAAGTGGTTCCATAAGATGTGCACCCGATTAAGCCCCACTGCATATAAAAGGTGTTCAAAGCCCAACTCTCATTGGCTTTGTAGTTTTTGTTGCTCGAGCAAAACATTGCTTATCCAGGAAGCAATTAGTCTCCTGGTGTTGGCTAATAAGAAGGTTGATGAGGGCTGTACTGATAACATTGGTACGGATGGCGAAGATTGCGTTAGTGTCGTAAGTGCTATCACGGCGCAAGCCAGACATCTACCTGTGCAACCCACAGTTAAACGTTCTCCCCCGAAACGATCAGTGAGTGACACGTCATTAGACGTTGGTGGCCATATTGCTACAGCAGCAACCGGTGACCCAGATAAAACAATTACTGTCCCGAGTTGTTCTAATGTAGACGTTTCGACTGATGGAAAATGGATGACGCGAAAACGCAGAAGAGTAGGAAAGATAGCTAAAACTAATGACTGTTTACTTGGTAAGTCCTTGGTGGACTCTCAGACCAATCCGCCAAAGTCTCATAGTAAAGCTTCGTCTGACATTGTTGTGAGTCATTCGCTTGACTCCCAGGACTCTGTTAAAATAAAAACTAATCGTAAGCTACCAGTAGTTAAAATACAGGATCTAACGTCACGGTCGAAAGCTGTGAACACAGTTTCAAAAGAAGCTAAACCCATCCCTAGTTTAATTATTTGGAATCTAGAGGAGTCGAAAGACAACGACCCTGCTAAAAGACACGCACATGACCTACAGTTAGTGGAGTCTGTGGTCAGGAATGTACTACCTGAAGAGGTTTCAGGGGTACATATTACAAAAGTAATACGACTTGGTAAATGGGTTGGAGGCGAGACCCAACCAAGAAGGATCCTGAAGCTGGTTCTCGGGAGTTTCGAAGAAAGAGACATATTATTGAAAAGCGCACAAAAAACTCGTGCCTCAAATATCCGTATTCGACCAGATTGGCCGCTTGAGGATCGAATCAAGTGGAAGAATGCTCTTACGGAGTTGAGGACTCGCAAATTAAATGGCGAAAATAACCTTACCATTAAGGGTTTTCGGGTAGTCAGGTCTTGGAAGCCAATGCTTCCGAGGCCTGTATGGGTAGAACGATTGATTTCCAAAACACCTTAAGTGTGTGCTACACGAACGCTCGTAGTCTTAGAAATAAAACGTCCGAGCTAAGTCTGATGGTGCAAGAATTATGTCCCGATATAATCGTTGTTACAGAAACTTGGTTCACCGTTGATATAGACTGTTCTCCTTTCATTGCTGGTTATATCTGTATCAGAAGTGATAGAGTTTCAAGTCGCAAGGGGGAGGTATAATATTTTACGTTAGGGATCACTTTCGTATACAATCAACCATATCGGAGGCTCATATCAGTGGCACATGTGAGGTTGCATGTTGTAAGATTAAATCTAGAAATGGGTTAGTGACTATAGGGGGAATATACCGTAGTCCGTCTTGTCTGGCTGACGACTTTATCCTAAGACACATCTGTTCTTGGAGTATGGCAGAATGTTGTCTCATCATTGGGGACTTCAACGCACCGCATATCAACTGGATAGAGCTTACAGCTCCAGGTAGCGGTTTCGATAGCGACCTTTTATCTACCGTTATTCAGTGTGCACTTGTACAATGTATCACAAAACCGACACATATTGATTTGCATCATGTTCCGTCACTGCTGGACCTCGCCCTCACCCACCACTCTGAGGATGTCTTTGATATCCAGCACCTTCCTCCACTAGTGAACAGTGATCACGTTGTAATTCACTTTAAGTTTAGGACACATGGTATACAATTCGTATCTGCTCCACCCCGTCCCAATATCTGGCGAGCTAATATTCCGGAAATCAGAAACCGTGCTATCTCGACTGATTGGTCGGTCGACGCGGATGGATTGATCGAAGATGAATGGAATAAGTTTAAGGCTACATTCGAGTCCGTAACGTCGCCGTTTATCCCATGGTCAGCACGTAAGCTATCACATTGCCCTCCATGGATTAATAAGGAAACCCGGAAGCTGTTAAAGCGTAGGAAACATTTCTGGGACTTATTCTTGTTGACAGGTCATGCACCATTTAAGCGTGAGTATCAAAAATACCGTAATATCTGTAAGAAAACCATAGCGAAATCCCGTACCACTTACGAACGACAGTTAGTATATGATAGCCGTACTTGTCCGAAACGATTGTTTTCGTATGTTAAACGGCAAATGAAACGTAGTGATGGTATTCCCCCGTTGCTGTTACACGAAAATTCAGAATTACTAGCTGAATCAGATCGAGCAAAAGCTGAGACTTTTTCAGATTATTTTAGCGAAGTCTTCTCTACGTTTATTGTAACAAATACTTGTCCCACTCACACCGAGATACCAACCATTGAATCCGTACAGGTGACTGAGGAAACTGTCCTTCCGTTGATAACTAACCTCAAACCTGGTAAGATACCGGGCCCTGACGGGTTACATCCACGGTTGCTGTCATCTCTTGCGGACATTATTTCAAAACCGCTTGCGACACTCTTCAACATGTCCCTCTCACTCGCCCAACTCCCTAGAGATTGGAAGGACGCTATAGTTAGTCCTATATTTAAGGACGGTCAGCGACAGATAGTATCTAACTACCGGCCTGTCAGTCTAACTAGCATAGTCGTTAAGTTACTCGAAAAGATAATTCGGGTTAGGTTGCTAAGCCACATAGATTTACACAATCTGTTAGCTCCTGAGCAACACGGATTTCGTAACAAGCGTTCATGCTTGACTAACTTGCTTATTGCGAGGGAGGATTGGACAGCAGCCCTAGATCACGGTCTGTCTGTCGACGTGATATTCATAGATTTTAGCAAAGCGTTTGACAAGGTTTCACACGTAGGTCTTATGCAGAAGCTCACGAGCTTCGGAATAATAGGTACTGTACATGAGTGGATAGGAAATTTCTTATGTGACCGCAGACAGAGAGTTAGGGTCAATGGAACGCTATCCGATTGGAAGCCGGTCAAAAGTGGTGTACCCCAAGGCACCATCTTAGGCCCTCTGCTCTTCCTTCTCTACGTTAATGAGTTACCACTGTTACTTAGGTCGTCGACATTATTGTTTGCAGATGATGTAAAAATCTGGAGAACAATAAAAAGTGCGGCTGATCATGTGGATCTTCAAGCTGATTTAGACGATTTAGTTAGATGGGCTCGAGAGTGGGGCTTAGAAATTAATGCTAGGAAGAGTGTACTAATGCACGTCGGTCACGGTAATAGTTACCGTTACACTATTGAGGGTAAACCTCTTCCATGCGTTCAAGAGCATAAGGACTTAGGAGTAATATTAAGTCATGACTTAAAAACAACTGCGCATTGCAAAGCAGCCGCTGTCAAAGGTTTTCGTGCGTTATGGTCACTTCGCCGAGCGTTCAAATCTTTTGACGAGGAAACGTTTCGAATTTTATACCCCATATATGTTAGACCACATTTAGAGTACTGTATCCAAGCAGCTAGCCCGTGTCTAGTAAAGGATACTAACTCCCTTGAGCGTGTCCAGCGTGTGGGAACGAAATTAGTGAAGGGTCTTTCTAGTCTCCCTTACGATGAGCGCTTAAAACGCCTAAATCTTTTCCCCTTGTCGTATCGTAGGACACGAGGTGACCTTATACTGGCATTTCGTATCTTTAATTATGATTTGGGTGTTAATATGTCTTATCTTTTTGCTCCCTCCAGCACTAATAATCTCCGAGGTCATAGCAAGAAGGTTCATAAACCACGATCTAATAAACTTAAAGTGGGATCCCGTTTTTCTCATCGAGTAGTCAATCATTGGAACGCCTTACCCGAACAAGTGGTATCAGCCCCATCAGTGAATACTTTCAAGGAAAAGCTGGACCTTCACTGGAAAGCAATGTGTCAGGATTAACACAGGTTCATCAACCTACTATCCTTATTACTGAAGACTGAAGACTGTCAGCTTCATAGACAGTGCTTAGCCTTGAAATATGTGACCTTACTGAATTGGCGGTAGTTCGAATGAACAACGTTTATTTCGGTAACACTGGTAAATCCTGGCATTCGTACTTAGAGAAGTGTGAGGAAAATCACGTCTACCAGTAGTTAATGGAATCTTTTGTAGCTACATCTTTCGGCTTCGAGCAGTACCTTCGCTTGTCACACTCTCAAATTAAGGCCATCCGACAAGCATTTTATAATGCTGCTGCTTTTATAATTCTTTCTTTAATATGCGTTGCCATTCTGGCAGTTTATTATACGCTCCAGGTTTTGTCAGACCTCTTTTGTGGGCTGTTTTGTGCGGGACGGTGTTATATCCATTTAAAAATTCGTTAACTGATGTTATTCGTGGGTGGGTTAGGCGTGTTGATGCAGAAGATCAGTTGCTTTTAGTAGAGACTGTTGTTGTACCGTTCCGAGTTTCTAATGCTCTCTATTCCATTTTAATCAGGAAAATGTCTGATCACTGGAGTTTACTTAAAACATCTCTGTTTCTTCTCCTCGCTTTCAACATTTCTTCCTACTTTGATTTTTTCTGGCTCCCTGGATTATCTATAAGTATCTCTTACTTCTTAATATCATTCGTTGATTGCGTCTTAGAATTTACATCGTTCAAATTGGTAAGTCTAACTCAGTTTTCTAGATTTACAGGTTATTACTCTAGGTATTATCTACGGCATGATTGCTTTATTAAAACCATCCAATTTCCACTTCGTGTACAGTGTGTCACACTTTTTCTGGCTTTCATTGCTGTTGTGGTGTACATCGTTTGGTGGGGTTCTAAGGATACCCGTATTTTTATTTTCTGTTGCAGTCTTGATAGTTGGCTACTGGGGTTTCACTGAAGAAGCTGATGGCAGTTGTCAAGGTCAGATATTTACATCCACATTCAGGATAACATTAAATTAGCTTATATTTTTTCTGTAAGCCTTTAGATTTTTGTTTTAGACTTTGTTATGTGATTTAGTTGCACTTATGTTTAGTTCAGTGGTACTTTTCATCTGTGCAATTTTGTTTCCAGCTGTTATTTCTTGTTGGGTTTGGAAGTCTATTATTTATTTACTTAAACACATCAATATTGATACAAAGGGGCACCAAATATGTATGTCCCACACTTCATCTTTAGATTTATGTGGGGGCTGGGAAACTGCCCGGGCGCCCGAACCGAGGCAGGTGGTTTTATTTAGAGGCCACTCCTCAAGCCCTTGACCTCGAGGTCTAGTTCACAATCCAGTGGCACAACGTCAGATGTCACATAGTAGCCTGTTACCAACAATAGGTTCGTACGTCTTCTGGTCCCTCAGAATCACGGAGCCCATGTCACCCTTGGTTTGGGATCAGGGTCTTCTAACTTCTCTGGGTGGATCCTCCGTACTTATCAACTCAGTTAAAGGGTCGGAAACTCGCTTTTCGTTCCCATTTTCGTAAGCAACACCCCCTCCACAAGGCAGTGATTAGGACTTCCCTGACGGTGTATGTATACGTTTGACTATGTGTGAGTATTTCGAGAGAGCGGACTCTCCTCACCCTCGGCTGTACTATGATATTTAAGGGCATTGGTTACTGTAAACAGGTTAGTAACAAATAGTGCGATTATAATGCAAATTACTGTAGTTAGTTCAAAAAATTACCTCAAAACGATCAAAAACATCATGGTAGTTACGATTGGACCAGCGCGTAAGCGAAAGCAGACTGTGAGCGCACGAATAATTTAATAATTGTAATGCTGGATATAGATTGCTGTATTCAGTACACTGGCTTGTTAATAAATCTGTCTTTTTTCAAGTCTCCAAGTAGCTGAATATGTTCAGTAAATCTACTGGGTATATAAGCATAGTAGAAACATGTTCTTATGATATGTTGACGTTATATTACTTCCCAATACTTTGTTAACATCAAATTTCACTAGTCAGCTTGTCATTTGGGATTGTTTACTAATTTTTAACTTTTCTTGTTTGCAGAACGGTGGGCTTCTTGCCATACTGTTACTGCATTAGATGGGGGATCTCCCGAGTTAATTAGGAGTGCAGTTTCCTGTGACACACTAGCAGAAGTTAGTACGGAATTCAGTAAGCCTTTCGAGGGTTCTACTCAAATACACCAAAGTCAGACAAAAAAGGAAGAACAACAGCGCCAAACTGGTCTTCCTCTAAGATGGTCGCAGTTTCTGAGGTTAGTTTTTCACTAGGTCAGATGAACTCAGGAAGTAGTTCTAAGTATTACGGTCCCCATTTTAGCAACTAATGTAAGGATATTAATGCCAGTTAGACAACGATATCTATCTTTGTCAGTCAAAGAAGAGTAATAAATTGTACAGATATGACTCTCGTTATGCTATAATTCATTTATCTTTTATTATCTGTCATAGGATAAAAGTATTTTGTTACATCGAATTAAGTAAAACGAGTTTAAAGCTATGATTCAATAGTTATGTTCCTGGGTCACCAAGCTGGATTCACTGAATGTCTATGATTTGCAGTTAACCACAGACTTAAAGGATGTATATTCATCAGTTGACTATAAAATATCTGATACACCTTATGCTTGGTTACACGTCATAAATCCAAATACTCTTTCTCTTACCTAAATGTCAACCTGTAAAGATCTTTCACTGCGTTATTATATTTCATACCTATTTTAACTGTTCTTCAACAGCGTTCGTCACTAATCTGCCTATCTTGTGGAGTCAAATCATACATTTGTGTGGTGCTTAGAAGCAGTGGTTTCGAAATTTGATAGTATCTGGTCATCAACTTCAATTCTACTGTGTAAAATTAGAAACGATCAAGTAGCATTTTTGACTGCATATATTTAGTAACTAAATCACATCTTTGTCATTTTGTATTGCACCGTTGATCATTTTCGATGGCCAGGCTACATACCGTTTAGTGTTTATTAGTATACAGTGAATCTGCGTAGCCAAAACCGGAGTGCTTAGTATGTATTCGTTTTCAAATATCAAAAATGATGGATTTTTTGAAGGGATATTTAAGTAAACGCCCGTTAAAACGTTACTCATTATCACTAGTGAGTATGGCATCCTCTGGTAGATGTTCTGGACGACGTATGTTCTTATCATAAGGATATTTTAAAAGCGAACCAGGTAACACTAAATGTGGTCCCACAGGTCCTCGGTCACATATCTAACGTTAAGTAAAATTTCAGTGTCGTATTCATCGAGCATAATAATGACATAGGATTTCTAACTAATAGAATTTCGTCATTATTCATGTAGTGACAGGTCATTATAATTGCATAAATTTTTTAAAATACCATAGCAGTTGTATTTTACCAAAACAATGTCAACGTCGTATAATTTTTGACTTAAACTAAGTGTTTTGTTTTTACCTAACTTTACGTGTATTCATTTTACTCATGTATTTATTTATTTCAGGCAAGCTTTCCTTCCAGTACAGACAGGATCGTCCTATGGATTTGATCCAGTTAGTGAGCTCCGAGCTTTCATGTCTGAACAGTTGTGTTTATCTTCCGCAAAATCATGGAGTGCAATATTGGAAGGAAAAGGGTAAGCGCATAAATAAGTCATAGTTTTACATATCCTAGATGACTAGATTGAATTTGAGTACTAACATAATTCAACAATTCATGACTACGCTTTAGTCATTATTTATGTGCTAAGTTAAGATTTTAGGAATTATTAAGTTAAGAAGACCAACAAGTATTTCACTAGTTTAATCTTATTTCATATTCGCGGATAATCTTATTGTTTATTTCTATCCCGAAAAATTTCTTTCCTGTCAAATTTAAATAGCCTTAACCGACATTTTATTGTATGTATAATGAAACCGTTAAATAGAACAGGTCACAGTCAGTCATTTCTGTAATTCGTCTATAACCTGTTTTCAAGTGTTTGAATCATTTGTTTTAGATAACACGTCTATTTCCAGTCATATTTCTTATCCTCTGTTGTTTAAAGTGAGATTTTCATTTGTTGAAGCACACTTCAAAACAATGGACTCTATATTTTTGCATGAGATTAAACTATAATCGTGTCATAATAGAAGTTTGGTTATGTCTGAGCTTGTACATAATTGTGCTGCGTTTAGTACATCAGAATAACAATGCAGCCACTAAGGCTGGCAAGTATTTTTAGAGGAGAACTGAATAAACCTTGAAGGTTATGTAGATTTCGTAATTATCCTTATCTAAACCTACAAATACTATTTCTGCCACTCATATCTAGATCGTTTTCTTCCACAATCTTTGTTATTTTGAAAAATAATATGTTAGTTAAAATTCCTATTTAAAATTTTTTTCTACAGGTTTCGTGCGAGAGGTAGTTCACTTCCTAGATCGGGAAACATTTTTGACGCAGCTTATACAAACGATACTTGCTATCCTGACAGTTCATTTGTCAATCGCTGTTTTCTTGCATTATTATGGGCTCATTTCTCGTCGCTATTTGGCTTTATCAATGGCCATTATATTTGATTTGTTTTATCTTAATTTTCTTTGGGATTTTTCGTCTATCACTTTGTTTAAAATTACAAGAACTATCACATTGGGTTCTTTATAAACTGAACAGTCTATTACAGACCATTACTCCGAATTTGACTATGGAACAAAGAAAAGCTTATTTAAAGTCGGTCGTCCCTAGGCCTGTGCACGGACTGCTTACACTATTGGGATATTGCGATAGAAAAGTATGTTGCATAATTTAAGATATTACTGTTTATAGAGACTATGTATTAACTTTTGTTTTTACCTATAATTTTATTTATTCAAGTTCTTACTTCTTGATATCAAACTTCAAGAGTAGTAAAATAACGTAATATCACGTAATCAGCCATCAAATTAAATTAGGATATTTTTTCTCGGATTGAAGTAGTTATATTTGCTTTGAGCCATTCGCCTAACAATCCGAACTATTGATTTGGAGTACCATAGACATTTTGAAGATATGCTGACACTACCTAGTGTATATAACTGCTATTCCATAAAAATCTACTTTAATAGATCGACCGTAGGACATTCTTGTCAGTTATATGTCACTAAAAGTTATACTTGAGAAAAATGTAGTAATAAATATACGTTACATCTCAAAGTATCATTTTTACTTGCTGTATCAATTAAGTAGATTTCAGTGAAGCTATAACCGAAGGTTGAATAATAAATCGTATAAAGATAAGAGTAATACTCGTACTCCAATATGTTAGAAATGCATTTGAAACCATTAAAAACATTTATGTTTTCATAACTTTAGATATTTCTGTATATAGTGTAAACTGTTAAGGCATGTTGCACAAATTCTTCCTAAATAAATTCATGAAGTAATCTGTAAAAAAACAATATTTGATGATCATAGGATGATAGTAATAATTGTCGTTCATATTAATTGAAGTGCATGAAATAAGTCATCATCGACTAAGAGCCTGGAAATGTGCGTTGACCGAAGTTGCAGTTACCACTGTTATCATGAGAAGATAAAATTGACAAGATTGGCAAAAATGATCGAAATCATATGGTAGCAATAATGACAAGAAAGTTTAAACAAAAGGGACATAGTTCAAAAAGGCAGAATGGGAAAATATGTGTGAAGAAATACTGGACTGGATCGAGAAGATGAATAGTGAATGCATCCTCACTTTTCATCTGATATTCCTCACTCTGTGTAGCTAAAATGCTTAATAATAATAATAATAATAATAATAATAATAATTCATTTTTGCTAACAATGTAAAGGTAACAGATAAAGAGTAGTATTGTAGTGCGTACTACTTATATTGATATAAGTAGTATATGATGCGAGTCAGGAATGTAATGTCTGGCAGCAGAAGATTGGGAAGATCAAGAAAGGAAGAGCGGGAATAGAAAGTAATTAGTATGGAAATGCAAGAACGATGAAGTTCGAGACAGTTATTGAACATTTTGCAAATTAAGTATTGTAGTATGGTTTTTCTATTTTACCAAGTAACTCTGTAATTTAGTGTTTAATGTAGTTCGGTTGTCCCCACCCGTGTTCTGTTTACTACAGTACCACTGAATAATTTACTGTTTTTAACTAATATTTGTTTGTTAAAAGTTAAGAACATGTAAAATGCACCTGTTAGTGAAGTGATAAACTGATAGTTCCATCATGGTTTGTAAGTCTTTTGCATTAGTGGTTAGGTTTTCTGTTAAATATTTTTCAATTTAGTAACTATATTTTTAAAAAAACAAACATTGTTAAGTGGATCTGCACAACTCGTGTACAGTTTTTTTTATTACGCTTTCCTTTAAACTTCAATGTGGAATGAACTCTTAGTTTCAGATCACATTAAGTTAATGGAATTAATCAAGCGGGAACAATATAAAAACTACTGCTTTGTGTTTTATGTATCACTTGAAACTAAAGTTAACTTGATAGGCTAGAAAGTCAATTAGTTGTTATCTTGTATATCCAGTAGTTGCATTCAAGCTTGTTTTCTAGTTTATGGATAGTGGCATAATAGTTGGAGCTGTAGAATCTCGCTCCATGTACTTCAGTTTGCGCAGCAAGGTAGTACCATTAACCCTCATAATGAAAGTGTGGCTTGATGCTGAGTTTAGAAAGTTATATGGGGTTATTAAATAATGCCATTACTATATTGTTTATTTAAGTTACTAACTTCAAATTATTTTGGCAATGACCTCAGGGCTTATAAAATATGTCAATTTGTTTTACGTCTCTTGGTTTTTGCATATTGAACGGTTAAATTGATATTATTTCTATGAAATTAAAGAATTTCTGGTTTTTAATTTATTTTAGCTTTGTCGTTACTTGGACTCATGGGTAGACAGTGTAGTCAGCCTTTTTATTCTTGTCTTCTTTATTTTCACTTTTTGTCTGCTGACAATGTTTTTAGCATTTCAGGTATGTCCAAATAGTTCTTATTACTATTATTTATAATACTACCAAGTAATTCAAAATTAAAGTGATTATTTCGCTATTGCATATAATGGATCTACTTACGAAAAGCTTATAGAACTACCAGTGTTTATTAAGTGCCAAATAATTTTTTTTCTATAACTTGGGATTCATGATCGTGCTCTCTTGATTCATTCTCGGTTATATTCTTCGGGAATTTGACACTTAAATGTGTAGTGAGAAAAAGAAGAGGAACCGAATAGAATTAAGTCCTGCGAAAATATTCACCAGATTTCTAGGTACACTAAGAGTTCTAGGACTATTGTGTATTTTTATCATGGGAGCCGTATATATATAATGGATGATAACATTTATTCGTCGATAGGGTGTATTAAAGGGTAATTCAATATGTATTTTGGATTGGACTGGGAGTTCGTTAGTCTTGTAGAATAAAAAAGGAATAGAGTAGATTACAAGATTCAATAAAGGTCAAAACTGTCTTGTGTTCCTGAAGAATCGAGATCAGTCTGTACCTTTTGTGTGTTCGTTTTAATAAAGGAAGCTTCCTGATTTGCATCAAAACTGATCTGGCGGTTTATTTGTAACTCATTGACAACTATCTTTGCCTCTTATATAAATGAATCGTTTGGGTCCATTTGTAGTATCTTTCTGTGTCTACTTGTAATTTTTAAGGAATCTACTTGTGGGAGCTTTTTGATTGGAAGTAAAATAGTAGAATGTGATCCGATATAGCTAAAAAGTAAATCAAATCTTATTTATGGTCGTAGGTAAACCTTTTAAGCATATGAAGAATAATGGGTATATTTGTATTATTAATAAGAAGAGCTAGTTTGAGTCGGTGAAAAATAAGCAAAGGAAAATATTTGTAGCTTGTCTAAAGATATTCTCTTGGTGGAGTAACTGCTGTGACCCGATCACTAAATATACTAAAACTGCCAAGATGTTTTAGTGGTCGAATCCCCGATAAGTGTTAAAATGAAGATCATCAATTGTTAACTTTGAGCGATATAATTCCACATCGATTACAGTGATGTATTTACCCCTTGTTTTCTCTCAAGTCTCCTGTCTTATTACTTTTGTTTTTTCCTTCAGCTTATTTACTCGATATCGATTTTTGCCTTTTTAACCGGTTTTTCTGCTGTTACGAAGTCTAAAAACTTTAGTGGGTGGTTGCATTTTTGATATGTCTGTTTATCTACTGTACTAAACGGTGAAAAAGTAGAAACTGAATACCTTCATAAGACCTGTGATAAGTGGCTAGCTACTGGTTATTTACAAACTGGTTCTCAATATATTTATGAAACAATTGTCAAGACTTTCATTGAAGCCAATGTGCCTTGCCTTTATAAAAGACCAAATAACCCTTAGTTGTATAAAGCAACTTTTCTCTTGTGCTCACAGAGACTTCACGTGCAAATTTCCACTTTTGTAGTGAAGCGTAGTTACATAATTTGTTGTGAATGTATTCTACCCGACTTAGTTCCTCGCCTACCTATTTTATTGTGTACAGTTCATAAATACATTACAGAGACCTATATATCGAAAACCAACTTGGGACGGACAATACACGAATTTTCACAGCTGGGACCTCTTGAAGTAGAAAAAGAAACTTAATTCAATTTTTATCATCCAGGTTTAGGCGAACATTATCGGGAGATACGGTAGACGAGGAACTATACAGCCTCCGACATATGTTCTTCAAAACTGGTATCCATCCAGGTTTGTTGAACGTAACATGAAACCTAAATCCAGTCAGTCAGCTACAAAGTAGAACCAGGCACACATGCATCGGTCCAAGCTGTCACACCTCACTAACACAACAAGATGAACACCGAATTCATAGAAGTAGTTACTTCAATGGTAGTAATATATAAAAGAAAGATTGTATATAAGGATATAATACAAGGAGAAAGGATTAGTTCGTAGAAAGAAAGGTATAAAGTGATTTTAATCTCATAGTTTAAGGGAAGACAGATAGTGTATACACCGACGCCATTGTGATCGATTCTGAGCCATGTCACACAGTCTCCAACCATTGGTTACGATAGTCACGCGGACCCCAACCAAGTAGTCTGCATCTACCAACATGGCTCAGACTAGAAGTTAGTGACTTTAGGCACTGACGATACGTTTTTATCTGGCCGCCCCTAACTTTCTTCCAACCATCCCGAACACCGGTTAGCATTTCGCGTCGTGGTAATCGGTGTTCAGGCATATGTAACACGTGGTCTAACCATCTCAGTCGATGAAGATTCACAACCTTATCAACTGATTTACCATCATTCCTCAATATCCTACGCCTGACCTCACTACTACTTACCCGGTGATCCCAACAAATGCGAGCTATATTTCGAAGACATTTGTGATCAAATACTTGTAACTTATGAGTATCTTCTAACGTTATTGGCCACGTTTTGCTTCTGTAAAGTAGAAAATAACAAACTGCTGAGCAGTATACTCGTCCCTTAATTGATAGACGGATATCTCGCCTTCTCCATAGGTGACGCAAGTTGACAAAAGCCAAACGAGCTTTTCGAATCAATTTCGTCAGACACCAACCCATTAGGGCTGATAAGACCTTCAAGATAAGTTGCCGACGCGTTCTACTACTTCACGCTTCATATCCTTAGTCCAGGTGTTGACGAAGGCCAGTCTTGGAGCAACAACTTGCATTTAGAGGGGGAGAAACGCATTCCAAACATTCTGGCATTGTTGCTCAGTGCCACCAAAAGACTCTGCATTTTGTCAGTGTCTTCACCAAACAGGACTATATCATCTGAGTATTTTAAGTCGATAAGTGGACCCCCTGGTAGGAGATCGATGCCCGAAAATTCAGTCGACGAGAACGTTGTTTCCGTCAGTATGTCTATGGTGAAGTTAAACAGAAATGGAGAAAGTGGACAGCCTTGACGGACACCACTTGATGTTGCAAAAACAGATGACAGTTCACCATAAGCTCTGGCTCGACTGGAGTGTTCGAGTAAAGACCCTTCACAAGGTTTATGTATTTCTGAGGTACGCCTTTCAATGACAGAAACTGCCACAGAATCTCGCGGTATACCGAGTCAAATGCTGCTTTTAAGTCAAGAAACACCACCATTGTTGGACGCCTATAAGTATCCCTATGTTCTAGAACCTGACGAATGGTGAATATATGGCCGATGCAGCCACGACCAGATCTGAAGCCTGCCTGATTTTCTCGTGTTTGCAGTTCACAAGTCTTTGTTAGTCGTCCGACAATTAATGAGGCTAGTATTTTAGATGTTATGTTAGTCAGACTAATTCCCCTATGGTTATCACAGGATGATTTCGACGCCCTTATATGTTTGGACAATCAGTGATTGTGACCAGTCAGATGGAATAACGTCTAACTCCCAGATCTTAGCTAAAATATCAGTCAACCTAATCACTAAAATTCGACCACCATCCTTAAAGACCTCTGAAGCCAATCCATCCGGACCAGCTGCTCTTCCTCGCTCCAGATTAGCTAGAGCTTTTTGAACTTCAACTAGAGTCGGGGGACCTACTTCAATATTCCATTCAGGCACTCTGGGATTGGTGGATAGTTGTAGAGTAGCTGTAGGTCAGGTGAACTGCTCCTTAAAGTGTTCCGTCCATCGTTTTAAACGTCTGGACTGAGAGCAGATGAAGGTGTCGTCTTTTTCCGAGATAGTCTCACTTTCATTATACTTTTTAATTCCGGTTTCTTTTATTAGTCTGTAGAGCTGTCTTGCGTCACCTATAGTCGCCGCCTTTTCCATCTCTTTTGCTTTCGTTGCCTACTACTGTTCACGATCGTTCCTTAGATTCATAGTTAACCTAGATTTGACTTGTTTTCATTCATCATCGTGTTAAAAGCCTGATGGGATAAGTCTACAAGAGTCTATTAATGCGATAGATGTAGCAGAAATCCACTGGTTTTCCTTGACCATTTGGTTTAAATCACTAATGGATGTCGCTGCTGTTTCCATAGTTGTTTGTATATCTTCCCAAGCAACATCTGGATCAGCCTCGTTTTCGGAACGAGCGACAGTTTTCTATTGGGTCTCTCCACCGATGACTGATGGCAATATGGTCTATTTGCGTCCACCGTTGGTTTGGTGCAGGCAGTCGCCATGTTAGACGATGTCTCTCCTTATGCTTAAAATTTGTGTTTGCTAAAAATAGACGATTGTCTGAGCACAGTTGCAGCAGACGATCATCATTATCTGTTCGCTGAGCCGGAATACCAAAATACCCACCTAAATATCTCTCTGTTTGGTTTGAGCTACCTACCTGGGGATTAAAGTCACCTGCTACGAGTACTATGTCTGGACGTTTAGCTCTCTGAAGAAGTTCAGAAAGCTTTCTGTAAAAGTCATCTTTCACTTCATCAGAGCTGCAGTCAGTGGGAGCGTAGGCAGAAGCAGTGAAAAGGCACCGACTTGTGTCCCTATCCTTCCGAGTTCTTAAGGAGCCGTTTAGCCGAACAGGACATAGACGACTGGTAACGGGGATCCACTCTAACAGTGCTTGTTCCGCCCTCATGCTTAGTGCTATGCCTACACCTGCCAGTCCACGAGAACTGGTCATCGGGTCACCAGATACACGGAGGGTGTATCTCGTTGGCTCTCCGTTTTGCCGAGGTGAGGTCAAGTGAATGACCACACTAGGATCCTGTATGCGTGTTTCGGAGACACAGCATACATCGATGGTACGAGATTCTAGGGTTTTATCCAGGGAAGCCTGCTGACCGATTTGACATAGGGTGTGTACGTTGAAGGCTCCAGTGTATAGTTTGGAGCGAGGTTTCAGTAGATCTATAACTGGTTTGCTCAATAGAATCGTTGGCTATGCTGACACTTGAGGAGTAAGCCGAAAGAGGAAGTTTAGAGTTGAAAGTCTATGTAGGTGGAATAATAGGAATTAAAGAGCGAGAATGATTATGAATACAGTGATCTTGAGTGCTGTTAGAGGTATGAGGGCGGTTATCACTTCCCGGTTGCCCACTCCATGGAAGGGTTCTTCTGGAGGTACCTGAAAAACAAATTGGGTTAGAGGTGGTATTAAGGACCTGAGAGTGTGATCGCAGTGCCCAAGGGACAACTGCTTGAGGTCGGTCACACACGACCTTTTTATGGGTAATTTTTAGCTCCGTACTTGTTGAGATCTTACCGCCGGAAACGGATATCCGTGGAATAAGGCGAGGTGTGCATTTTTAGGGTCGACCTTTTCTAACCCCACCCCTCCTTATGGGAAGGCAGCATCACTGTCATGCTGGTTGTCTGAAGGAAACACCTTACTGCTGTCACACCTCTGTACAGTCAGCAGTACGACTTCACCCTTGAAACTTGGGTTTGCTGCTTTTAGTCTTACCGCTCTTCAACTGGCTTGTCTGGCATGGTAGAACCTTAAGGAACGATTGTTCCAGCCAGTATAACTCGATTGATTCATCACGATAGGCAAGCCCGATCACCACGTCAAGGTAGCAGCAGCGGTCGGGAAAACCCTAATTATAACATACATAACCTCATACAGTTCCTAAGGAAAATGTCTTCATGGACATGGACATGGAGTTCAAAGGAGATACTTCCACCGAAATTTTGAAAAATCGTCTAACATAATCCGTAAAGTGAACTTTTTATGCGGCTAAGCTTTGCATCGTCTTTTTCTATCCGTCGCATCATTTGTGGATGTGTCAAGGACAAACTCTTTCATTGGGCCACTTCACTGTATATTTATAAGTCCATTTGCTCTTGTAAAGCAAGTCACATAGGTCGCACAAGCTGAGAGCTTTTCAAACGCATCCCGCGTGGTTTTCGAAAGGTGAATGTAAATCAATCAACAGCTTATTATTATAAAATTTTGTGAACTCTTATCACATGGCCCCACCTTACAGTTCCTTTAAAATCATCTATACATTCAGACGGTTTGTTTTGAAAAAGGCACAAATTAATAACTTATGCACTTCAGAGGCGCTAGCAACCTATCATTTCAGACCTGAACTCTATGTGCAAAAGAGACACATACAAGCCATCATTCTACGAGGGGCCTAACACTTAATCTTTATACAGGGTAATGTGATTTTGTTACATCCTGTGTGTGTTTTTAATATCCTTAATTTTGATTGTTTGTTATTATCATCACGTTTATCATTTGTTCTTCACCCTTCTCATACTCATCAAGATGACCATCCTTCTCACATTTGTTTTCATCCTATTGACTCTCTTCACTTCTCAATTACCAAATACCTTTGTTCGATACATGATATGATGTAATCGTCCTATCTTTCGGTGAACTGTTTTATTTAAATTAATTATAAATACGACTGTACAGCTAGAGTAAATGATATCGTCGAAAAGAAAATTTTCTTCTCTGAATTCTCTTAGTTCTTATTCGTAGATATCTGTTTATTATGAATTGTATGTTGTAGTTTTTTAAGTTTACTGACCGACTCATACGGTCCAATTAAAGTAGGAACCTGAGAGTACGGTGTTACAAATTGATATGCTAACACAATTACTACCACATTGATGCTTACAAATTTTACAGCATAATTTATACTGTTTCTCACACTAATAATAATAGTGATAATGATAATAATCATCTTTTGTTCTTTCAGATTCACAATGAAAGTATTCATTTGGTATCGCTAACAAGTGATTTTATCAATAAAGCGTTGAACAGTGAAGCATATAGGTGAGTGGTATTGAAACAGTAGATATCCTAGATATTGTAATGGATGGTATTATGCCAAGCCAGCATAGGTTATTCTAGCTTCTGGACAGACCAATTTATTCATTCTTCTTAGGCCACATTTTGACCTTATCAACTATTCGCTTATTAATCCTGACGGTTTTTATATGATCTATGTGAGTTGATTGCTTACCTTATTCGTTACATTACGTGCCTGTGATTTATTTTTGTCTGAATGTAAATATTAAGTCACACTATCATATTGAGTTAGCTCACACACCTCCGGTCCGCTTCACTCTCTTCGCTTTTTCACTTCGTTTCTCTGATTGTCTGTTCAGACCAACGAGTGTACAGAGTATTTGTAATCGAAATTCATTCTCGTATTCGACTTATTTTATTCCTTTATTCTGTAGCGCGAATCAAGTCGATAATTATATACGAGGGTAACCAAAATGTGTGTTTCAATAATAATCATTAAACGATCTAACTGGGCCACTAGAACGTTTCCACTGACAATGAACAATGTACATGGTTTCTTTATTTCCTTTTTACAGAAAGCTAATTTACTGGTTTTCCCATCAGATATCGTAATTAAGTAGTAGGTTGTTAGTGTAGTCTGTTGATATATGACATTCTAAACATATATCATAGTCTTTTGCTTGTATTAACGTCTGATCTTTGTCTTTCAGCTAATGTATGATTATTTAAATGCCATTAAATTGCAGATTAAAAGCAGGGTATGCGGCTGTGTTCATCGTTTACACTCAAGTCCCCATTAAATGTAAATGTTACAAGTTCAAACCACACTATTTGTATAAGGTATCTTGATATACGTTTCCAATGAGGCTTTTCGATTCATAACAATATAATGATAATAGTACATGACTTATTTTGTGTTAAGTGTTAATTTGATATCGCCTTTTAGAGTTCAAGAATCTTAACAAAACCGAATAGATAAAACTTTCTATACTTACTTGTTAGGTTGAGCTCATCCTACCAAATAAAACCTGATACATCAAACAGTAAATGTATAAAATGGCTTAAATGAATCTTAATTACTATTTTCGTTGTGTTCAAACTTAATTGATTTAATAAAATATAACAGTAGTTTGATTTCAAGTTGATATAATACAAATTTTCAAGTTGTGTGCTAATTTGTTATAAAGCAGTGAATGCTGAATATTACGTACAATCATAAATAGCCATCACTGCAGCTTATTAATTGTTAAATCTCATGAAAATACTTTGATAACAGTTAGTAAATCAAATATTGGAGGGTAGCGGTCTAAGTGATTCGTCCGTGGTGTATATTTATTGTCAGAGAATACAGCGACTAGCATCAGTGGCATATATCGCTGTTCAATTGTAAATATATTCATTTACTAACTGTTGATGTTGAAAAAATCTTTAGTTCAATTACCAACAAATAGTCTCGTTATAAAATACTGTTATTGTTTGATGATTTGATGTTTTATTGGTACTCAACATTCTCTATTTCTATTTCTCTGTTTCTAGACTTCTTAGTCACTTATAGGATATTGTGTGTTTGTATTTATTTACGTAAGGATATTTAAGGACATGGTATTTATTTATACATTTCACGTGTATAATTCATCTGGAAACTTTTCAACATTTTATGCATCAGATTTCTTGAAATACTGTTTCTTTCCTGCCTAAATAGAAATTTTATTTTAATGTATACATTATTACATCATTCTGTACAATCAATGTAGTGATTTTTTTAAAAAGATACCTACCTAGATAACTGACGATTCATAAATAACTCAGTTGAGATGGTTGAGTCAATAAGCAGCTCATAGAACTAATCCTCAAGTTCCATGTGGAGAAACTAAACGATTGATTTATAAACTCAATCATATAATAAAATAAAACTCAATTTGATGCAAACTATTTATGTAAGAGAAATAGTGAAAAGGAAATCGCAACCAAATATTGAGTCAAAACGATGGTTATTATAGGCGGTTAATCGAGTTGAATTTCATACAGTTGTTTCATCTGGGAAAATACCAGGTAACGTATCATGCAATTCATTACGACCTGGTAAGGTGATTTCCCTTCGTCAGTGAAGGTACAACAATAATTATTCAAACCTGCAAGATTCCAGTGTACCAGCAGGTTTTTCTTATCGATGCAGTATTGTCTCTCGTTAAAACTCTTGTCTGAGGAGATATAACTCGATGTTACAAACACAGCATTTGAGCAGAGGTTTAAACCAATTGTATATCCATCAGTTTAGACAACCGGTTGATGCCACAACTTGTTCACAGTCAACCGTAGTCTATACGCTCAGAAATGATGTGACATGACTGAATAGACGATTTTATTAATTTTCCACACATTTTATTTGCCTCTTCACCCGGTTTTGTATTCCTTCTTCACTATTTAGTAAAAATCTTTAAGCCTATGCAAAGTTTTTCAATAATCTATCTTACATTAACATTTAAATAAATAGGCACATCCTTCTACACTCAACAGATTTATGTGACCTGAAAACCTGTACAAAAGCGTTTTGTTTCATTTCAAATCGTCGGTTGTGATTTCAAATGTCTCTGTTGTACCATGCATTTCAAACCAAGTTCTTAAAACGTCAGTCAATTGGAACATCTTATGTGTTGCATTGGTGATATTCGAAGTCTTTTTTAAGCTGTTAGATCTAGAAGTGCAGCCTCACCAACCATACATTTTAACTAATTGGTTGAAGTTATACTATTTCAGTGGTTATATTTTGTCTAGTATTGGAAATAGCCTACATATTTGTCACCGAAATTCGAAAATCTGAATAACATTATCCATTCCATAGACAAAAATAAAGCTTACACTGCAATTTTCAAATATACATTTTCGTGCTGAATTCGCTTCGTTTTCCACCACATCTTGCTAGGTCTGATATTGGTTTGCAAGAATTATCACTAAAATATTAAAATCACATTTTATTGAACTTATTCTTATTTCCTAATATTTCTGTAAAATGCAAGTAATTTTATTGTTTATTTCTCTTCCCTAGTTGGCTTCCTAGAAGGGAACAAGTTGATGGAATGTTTAATGTTTTAGTTACAAATGCTTATCAAGCTGGACGAAGTTGGATATCCGATAAGGTAGGTTCAATTTGATTATTTCTCAAGTTGTTCTTTCATATATCAACTTACTAGAAATAAAAATATTTTCTCCTTGGAGATCTTTAGTTTTAACGGCTCGAGATACTCGTTTGATTCATTCAAAACATTTTGTTCAACTCAAGCTCTTTACTTTATCAATTTTCGTGATTTGTACCTTTGTAATTTTGTGCCCTTCATTCGAATTTTCACATATACTTTGAAGGCCTTGAAGGATTGTAACCAAATAAGGTTTACAGAATGTAATTACCAGAGAAAGAGCGTAGGCAGAAGAATATAGGACTCCTTATGGTAAATCATATCCGTCCAAGTTGTCATATGTCTCAAAAGCAGGAGAGGAATAAGATGTTAAAGTGATCCACGGAATTATCATAAATTAACAAGGGATTGTTAGTGTAAATATCCGGAGGTTTGTTATATGAAGAATTAACAACATCTATCCTCAGTGTTTTGGACCATATTGACAATTGATTTCTAACATTTCACAGATTCCACTATGAGATCAACATTTTGTAAATAGCTTAAACCAATAGCATGTTACTTCGCTGATTAGCAAGATATCTTAATTTAGTCACTACACTTTTTTCATCAATCTCCACAGTCATTAGAGTACAAGGTTTTCAACCATTGCGTTTCAGGTTTAAATCTCTCCCCATCTGCTTCAGTTTGGACTGGCTCTCACACAAATAATGTGACTCAAGGTCAAGTCTATGAGCATATGTTCGCAAATGAATGGTTTTACCTAATTTAATTCTTCATTGGTCAACATTATGTTGTCTCGATATTTGTAAAGCGAATTCCAACAACTCTATTGATCAGTTTTCATATTTTACTTTGATTTTTATGTTCAACCTCAACAGTGCTCGAATAGTACTTGCACCATAGACTAGTAATTGTTTTTAGACTTTGAATATTTGACACTAGTGTCTCTAACCATTCATTAAGAGTGTTATTCTGTGCTTCATACTTGCCGTTTAATGGACACCTGGATATCCTCAGAACGTCATGGTGTTTTCGTAAAGATTTCATGGAAGTCTGGTCCACCAGGACTGATACAACTAACCATGTATATGAAGTGGTCAGAAGAGTTGGTTGCTTCTGTTATATTGGTGATATTAAGAAAAGCGGTAACTTTTGGAACTATCTTGCAAAGAATTATTGTTTGTATTTTTGCTGTATAGTAGTTAGGCATTTAGATAATTGTATTCTCATTTACCCTGACTGTAATTTTTCATTTGGCTCACAAACTATCATTATGTTTTACTTTCCTTAATTTGTTATGAATTAATTATGGGTCTATTACTTAGTTTCTCATTCATTTATGGTGTAGCTATACTTATATTGTGATTTCCGACTAATGTTGATGTTTGTTGTACAGAATACTTTCTTTGAGTTGTGGTAACGAACAGCTACGTAATAGAGATATTATCTACCTACCATGTTCTTTTATCGAACATTAGTAGACCTACTAATAGCATAACGTCTGTTTACACTTTGCAATATCTATTATTGTTTTCTAATCCGCGTTTGCTTCGAGCCTGTTCCTATACTATGCTTTTGCTGGTCAATAGAGTTGTTTTGCAGGCTGTAGGCAAAAGCAAACCTAACAATATTTAAATACGATTGATTCACCCATTTTTTGTACTTTTGTTACCTTTGACTATGAAAAGGTTTGTAAATTCCATTGAATATATATATATGGATGCATTAAAAACATTTTCTCTTGAATATCTTGGAATAAACATTATATTTCTTAATGCGTTTAAGTGAACTCGAGTTAGTTTTAGTAATGATGTTGTCTGTCCCTTTTGTTATGATAAATTATTTTAGATTTCCTACTTAAATTGTTGACTATACTACTAATAAGTATTGGTTTTAATTAATGAATTAATTCATTTACTGTTTGTCTTATGTATGTATTTTTTTAATGGTAAACTCCTGTTCTGATCACATTGATTAATTTATAATGTTGATAGATCAATGAACTTTTTGAAGCAGATCCGAATTCAAAGGCAATATTAAAAGAACAACTTTTATATTTGTGGGAGAATATTTATAATTCTTTTATCAATCAGGTAATCATCAGATTAATATATATGACTTCTACTGGTTAATGATTATCAATATGTATCATGAATGTATAATGTATGAATAGTTCTACTTTTTCCTTTTCTTCTTTGTAAAATATATACACTCTGTTTATTTGTGTAGATTTTATGAAAATATTATGACGAACTGATTTGATAAGTAGGGAATTTTATATCGTCACATTGTAATATGGGTTCTTCTACATAGTAAGATAAATTGTGATATTTCAAACTTTCAAATTGATTTCTTTGTTGTTTTCATTTCGACTCAAGTGTAGAACAATAAGAGATTACTCGGGATCAATTATTACTGAAATCCATTATCTCAGAAACCTTGTCCTTAGAGGACCGTGTTTTCCTACATGATTTAAACAAGGATGGTGGCTTCATGTGGTGGTGCTGTTTATTGATCTGACCGCTTTTATTTTTTTCGACCCAGTGATACTCTGTTCAACATTGAATATTTCAGTAAATGGAGCTTTGATACGTGTAACACGGCCCAACCACTGTAGTCTGTAGAGAGAGCATATATATATATACCTTTTAGAAATGTCTACGAGATTCAGGTGTTTTTAAATTTTCCAGAAAAAGTTCTGTTCGTTACGGTAACAAATAAGTGGAAAACGTTTGTCAGTTCAGGAGCTGCCGTGTACACTAAACTTATTTCTGTTATTAAATTCCATTGATATAATAGACACTAGGTAAAATGACGACAATGATTATATCTTTTAGAATTAGGCAGCAAAAATTACTATTTGTAAACCAAAATATATCCACTTTCTATGCTATTAACAAGTTTCGAATACCAGTCCATATAGTGTTGTAGTATTTCACTAATCATTTCAGAGGTTACTGCCCATATCTGTTTAATTGTCGTATTGTTCACTTTTTAATGAATGTTACTTTCAAATTCGTCTAATATTACAATTTACAAATCTTAACACGTATGCATATTTATGTACTTTTTTCCCAGTCAATGAACACTACATTGATGACTAATCAATCAGTCATTAATAATCAAACTTTACCGTTCTTGTTGCATAATCATATAAATTCCAATGCAATTACTCCACGTGGGGTTGGAAGAGTTTCATTGAATCGATTTTTTATCAATACTACTCGGATATTTAATCGACACGCTTTAAGTTCAGTGAGTGATATTCAGTTGTTTATTTTTTCTAATTGACTAGAATTATGTTTGCCCTCTTACTTCTGCTGGTCATTGATGATGTTAAGTTCTGGATACGGAAAATGATCTAATTAACTCATTTTCCGGGTTGAATTAATCTTCAAAAGTAGAAAAATATCTTCTTTTGTAGCATAAATGATTTAAAGTTTTTTATTTCGAATGGACGGTTGAAGTCTACAAAAACCATCTTCCTTTATATTATTTTCTATTAGTTAACTATTTGTAAACGTGTTTACAGTCTTTAGGCAAATACGTATTGTTATAATTACTTATTGGACTGTTTTTTCATGATACTCAGCGCTTCATCAGCCCAGTTATATGGTAGGCGAAAACAGCGAGCATACGTAAACGTATTTGCCTAATGCTCAAATGAATAATACTAATAACTCATGCTTGTTTGTGTGGGTAGCCACCATGATTTGGAGCGTAACTACGCAGACTGACTGTAGTGGTACAAAACGTTCAGTTCCTCATCATAACTCTTTCAAGCTTGGATTTGACTTGGTTTATAACATTAACATACTTAGTATCTTTCCAAATTTGATTTTGTTTAGTGTATGCGATGTCTTGGTCGGATCGTAACTTTTTCTGTCATAACTTAATGCTTAAGACAAACGAATTTATTCTCTTCATTAACTATCACATTAAATACGAACAATAATAACAGCGATGCTTATTTGTTTATTGTATAATGTCGTTTTTGTGTTTCTTCAATTTTATTTAGTTGTTTGTGGTTTTCAAACAGAACTTGGGCACATTTGCAACTATCACAGAATCAGTATGGGGTTTGATGCGTAGTAATGTGAATTTAATTGCTCAGTTAATAACAACTTTATTTTCATTGATAATGAGTGGTGGGCATGTGGCAATGAATTTTATGATTGCTTTTGTAAGTTCCATATACTGGTAGATTATTAGTTACATGCTTTTCCATAATACATATTATACTATTTGTAAATTTGAAAGGTCATTTACGAAAGAGGTAGGAAAATTCATCATAGCAAATTACACCTTTTGTACTCATTTAGTCGATGTACAGTTCACCATTTAACTACATATGTATATACTTCATTTGTAATCATGTCTAAAATATAGGCTTATTAGTAGTATATATAAGCGAATTGCACTAATTCAATCAATTTCTAACCAAATTAAAGTTAGTTTGTATGATTTTTAGTTATCATGTCTTTATTCATTGCATCATTAGTACCTACATGTTATAACTGATTCATTTCCAATGTGTGTGTGTGTGTTTGTATGATTAATACTGACGTTTCTATTTTTAGTTTGATGTAGGTAAATTAATTGAATTACATTTAATTAAATTTTTCTGTTAACTTCTATTTAGTTAATACCATTATCATTTGCCTGAAAATATTTACTGATTAATGTGATCAGTTACAATAAATTCTCTTTATTGTTCCTTTAATAGTGGGTCTATTCACTGAAGGTTTGCAACTTTGTTGTATTGATTACTTGATCTGAAATGTTAAGTTTTGTCAATTAGTTTTTTAATATCTAAAATAACTTTTTTTTGTTGTTGATAAAAGTCTGTTTATTGATACTGTGACAAGTTTAATGAGGACTTTGTCTGTTTACACAATATGTGTATGATCTGTCATGGTGCCTATTTATGATATTTTCTATTTGTCATATTTATCAATGTTAAGAACAGTCAGTTATGAATAATGTTAAGATCTGGCACGAATGTTTATCAATTTAAGTTGGCATAGCTCAGATCAACACAGCAAGTGTGGAAATGATTAGAATACAGAGCAAAAGAGAGGAAATTTGGTCAATTATGTATCGAAATATAAAAATGAGGATCGACACTTAACAGGGGATTCAAATGAAGATGAAGAATGAATGTAACTGTGGATTAATACAACTAATCCTGTCTTTCCGTTCAAAATCTTTGAAATTGGGTAAGGATGAACTCCACTTTCCTTCGCAATTTCGACGTTGGACCTGGCAGCTAACCAAAATGAAGCGGTAATTCTTATTTAAACTATCGTAATCCATGACTGAAGGTGTGACTTTTTCTTCGTCGTTTTATTCCAAAATATCTACAATTGAGTGATTAAATAAACGAAAATTTAACCGAAATTACTGAATATGATACACTCAGATGATTTAACGACGTGGAGTTTATCCCCGGCCATTTTGGAATAACTTTTATTAGAAAATTAATTGGACGTATGACGTTCGCCATGTGATTTTTCTTCCATCATAATTGACTGCGCTACAGCTGATGCGTCAGTAGTATGATGGAGTATTATTTTCATCGTAAAAACTACATTTTTCATGTAACGACGAAGAACGAGTTACAACTTGCGTTGTGGATTACGATAGTTTAAGTAAGAATTCCCGCTTCATTGTGGTTAGTTGCCAGGTCCAACGTCGAAATTATGAACGAGAATGAAGTTTATCTTCGCCCGTCGAAATCCGTTAAATATCTAATCTACCCTTCTATTACAATTGCACCAATATATTGTCTGCTTTTTTGATTACCCTGAAATCAAAGCAAACCTATTAAAATAAACCAAACTATAATTAGTGACCTAACTTTTCACTTGAATTTTTTTAGATAGTTTCTTTTAAAATAATTGAATAAAACTTCATATTTCTAAATTTAAGTCAGATTCTTGTTTATTTTCTGTTCTGTTTTTACTACGACTCACCTCTTCCTATTAAGCACGCTTTCTATTCACCTAGTTTGAGCAATAATCGTACAGTATTGTTATCCGCTGTAGAATGCATTTAATTGAACAGTTTGTCCAAAAAGCCTATATTCAGTTATTTAGTTGACTTTCGAATATTTTTATCAATTCTATCTACAATCGTATTTGTTCATTTATTTATTTGTTATTTCAGCTCATTTTTTTAACAGTTCTCTATTATGTATTAGCTGCGAGTGGATCGTGTTATCTCCCTGTTGCTTTTATTTCTTCATTAACACCAACTTTTTCTGGAACTAATTCATTAATTACGCATTTATATTCAACTGTGGAATCAGCTATTAGTGGAGTATTTGTTGCAACATTAAAATTGGCTTTATTTTATGGTTTATATACATCACTTACTCATATTATATTTGGATTAGATCTTGTAATAATTCCATCGGGTGAGCTATTTTACTTAGTTCATTTTGTATTATCGACTTGTAAAATCATTTATTGAAGATTACCTATTAGGTAATGGTAATAGTAGTATGTGATAATACGTGAGGAAAAGTGTCGTGTAGAATTACTTCTTTCTATTTTGGGATGAATAATTTGTTCATTATCATATCTTATTTGCATAAGTTTAAATGGTAGAGTTAAATTCTAGCAATTTATCTTTTGATCATCTCTTCATCTTTCAAGCGATAATGTTTCTGCTCAGATACTGATAATAATACTATTAATAGTAATAGCAGAAGTAGTGTCATTATCGAAGAAAATGTGACATCTGTGCACAATTTTCCGTTTTCATTGATAACTCAAACAGACGTATTGAAATTATTGTGACCAGGAGTTTTTCTTTTTGATGTGATTTATTTTTTGGTCTCGTTTTCTATCTAGTGTTTTTTATTGCAAATCTCTCTTAAATTATATCCTAAGGCTGTCATCACATAGTTACACTTTAGTAAACGTTTAATAATTGTTATCGTCATTAAGAATAAAAATTCTATGGCGTGTCTGTATTTCTTGTATTTCAATGACTAGCCTAGCGTTATTTGATATGATCATCTACAAAACATCTAGCACACATGCAAACATTTCGCTTGATATTTGTCGATCTGTAACACTGGTGAAATCTGATAATCTGTTAGGAAGTCAGGGGTGGTTAAACCAATGCGTGACGTTAATTCGTAAAGTTGTTTGCTTCTGATGTAAGTCCTTTGTCTAGTAGATAAATTTCAGCAGGCGGAGACTCCAAAGCATACAAAAGAGTCTCTATTCTGTATCTTCCGCTTAATTCTAGGGATTTGATTATTTATTTATTTGAGCATATAACATTGATACAAAGGGGCACCAGTTATATATGCACCACATAATAAAAATGAGGTTGTGAAGACAGAGAATAGAAGGTGAGTATAGTAAAAATGAAGAGCAACAATGAACAGGAATTACTATGTGAGAGCAAAGTATTAATAATAATAATAATAATAATAATAATAATGGGACCAGCAGTTCAGTTAGGAAAAACAGAACTAGAAAGAATTCTTTGAGTTAAGGAAGCTGCTTTCACTTTTATGAAAGAATTAAAAGAAAGTTACAGCAGGATCGCCATTGACTTCTATTCTGAACCATTTCTGAAAACGTCTCAAACCACTGTGTTGCACCATTTCTAGGACCCCCAACCAAGGGAGTCGTGAAGGTCCAAAAGCAGCCAGTCCTGTACAGCTTTCTTTCATACCACGACACCATGTCATGCACTGACCACCTCTTCTCTTTTCCCGACCAGTCCCAGCATCGACAAATAATGCACGATGTCGATTCTCTGGGACAAAATTCATAGTACATGGCAAAGCCTGTGTTTCAGGCTGGTGACACCAATCAAATTGTCGCTGTATCCGAATACACTTTGCTGAACATCTGTATTATTAACATGGTGTAGCCTCTGGATGTCAGCAACCCTTTGGAGACAACGATGATCAAGCACAGAGAGTTTTCTAAAATCCTGAACTCGAAGAGGTCACGTTTCATAAGCATAGGGTGAAACTGCTCTCACCGACGCGTTGTTGATCCGACCTTTTAGAACCAGACTAATATCACAAAAGCACCGAAGATGGCCCAGATTGGCATAAGCCGCTCTGGCTTTCATTATACGTGACTTGATGTCGTCACTCACGCCACCACCATCACTTATGCAGATACCCAAATGCACGAACATCTCAACTACATTTTGTTCACTACCCAGAGTGAGTTCGGGGTACTACCAGTCTTTTAAAAATACTTTGCTCTTAGAAGGTGAAAAGCACACGCCATACCTACGTACACTGATTGCCAACTGATTAAGTGAGGATTGCATGGCTTAGATATCATCGTACAGAAAGATAATATCCGTAAACTGAAGGTCAAAAGATCCTTCTCTAGACAACAGATCCACATCGCCATTACCTATATCCACCAGAGCTGTTTCCAAAATCTCATTAATGGAAAAGTTGAACAAAAGTGGCGAGATTGGACAACCCTGCCTAACCCCATAGCTTGAATAAAACACTGGAGAGAGAGGGTTATATGCCCTCTGGAGCAGCAGACCAGTTGAGCTGCTCCTCGGTAAACTCTGCCCATGGTCCAAGACGTCAATAGATGTTATTGATTGGGATCCTGTTGGCTTCACAGATTGTTTGACTCACACCAGACTTCTTGATATAAGCAACTCGGATGAGTTGAAAGAGCACTCAGCAGTTACCAGGTGAAGCTACTGCTCTCAACTCGTTAGCATGCCCCGACCACCGGGCTTCTTGTTCCTTACGCAAGCTTTGCACAATTTCACCACATAACAATCTTCCTTTTTTGTCAAACTCGCGGGCACACGGGGTAGACCGACGTGCTTCAACGAGTTGTAAGTAGCTTGAAGGAACCCAGTGCGGGACGTTTTGCGAAGCCGCAGGCGACTTTACTCGCCGTTTTCATGGCGCCATGCAATAGCAGCTAGTGCTCATCAATATTTTTCGGTGGGTTGATAGCTCACCTCGAACCTAGCTCGGTTTGATATTTAGTTGCAGCAGAGGCTGCAATCAATTTGATGAATCCTGAATACGGTTCTCGGATAGACAACAGACACCGATGTTTAGACTTTTTAAAGACATAACCAACCTTATCTGTTGTCCGATCTGCATTAGCGTGTGAACGTTGAAGGAGGCCAGTTTGAATGGCATACGTGGCTGTTCCAGAAATTCTAGTCGGTGGTAGCATCCAACTTCCGACCAGTCAGTGACTTGAGATCGTTTAGAAAGGAGAGGGTCTCCACCATAGGCAAGCTGCTGTGTAATTTGAAAAATAAAAGAATATACAGAATGAAAATAAAACTGGATGGACAAGTGGCGCAATGTAGAATAAAAACGAATGTTACTTAGTGATTTTGAATTTAAGTTGTCAAGATACAGATTGAGACGTGAATATTTTTTCCCAGTTATAATCATCATTCGAATTGTGTAAGGGTAAGAATACTTCCCGGGTGCCTAAACCGAGGCAGGTAGTTTTCTTAGAGTCCCACTCCCCGAGCCTTTGACCCAGAAGTCTAGTTAATAAGGCGGTGGGAGATGCAGTCCCATGACAGTGTAGAGGCTAATTTCCTCTATATCTGACTCCAATAAATAGTATCCCGTTAATTGAGTATTGAAGGCAGGTTAAATCTCCTGGTAGAATTATGGATTTACTCAAGATTATTCAAAAGCCTGAACACCAGTTATAGAGATAGTTTATTTTTTTAAGATTGATAAAATCCGCAAACGTACAGGAAGCAAGCACACAGGGAAACCAAGTGAGTATGAGTTTGTGTTAAAAATCCATATATATTTATGAGTGTTAATCGATTGTGGATAAATTATTGATTGTCTGTGTATTACAATCAACATGAGAATAGATTAAAGATTGATGTGCAGACGCGCCAAATCAGACTCACACAAAAATTTACATAGTGGATTGAGTGTCTAAATTACAGTGATCAGACAAATAATACAATAGTTGAATGGGCTTACTACAACAGTCGGTGACCAACAATAAGTTCAAACGCCATTTGTTCCCTCAGGATCCCGGAGTTCATGTGTACCATCAGTCTGGAATCGGGATTTTCTAACTTTCCTAGATGAATCCTCTATATCCACCAACCTAGTTAAGGAGCCGGACGTTCGCTTTTCATCCTCTTAATTTTGTAAACAACAACCCTGTTGCGAGAACGCGGTGATTAGGACTTCTCTGGAAGTAGCTGTTCGCTTGGCCATGTGAGAGGAATTCGAGAGGGACAGTGGGTTCCCCCCACCCACGATCGTACCAGGGCATTTGGGGATCAATTGTGGCAACGAACCGTTGCGGCGTGGATTATTTTATTTATTTGAACACATAGATATTGGTACAAAGGGCACCAAATACATATGCGCCATACAAATCTCATTTGAATTGTTTGAGGGCTGTGACACTCCCCGGGTGCTCAAACCTAAGCAAGTGGTTTTCTTGGGAGGCCACACCCGGAGCCTTTGACCTAAAGGTCTGATCCACAAGGCGGTGGAGCAACGTAGGGAGATGCAGTCCCATGGTAGCCTGTGACCAATAATTGGTTCATACGCCATTTGTTCCCTCAGGATACTGGAGCCCATGTGCACCACTGGTTTGGAACCAGGGTAATGAAGGTTTTCCGCGACGAAGTTTTCAAAAGTCAGCCCTCGATTCTGATCAGTTTGTCTAGTTTTTATTTGTCAACATATTTAAACAATTGGGTATACAGGTTTCTGGTACTTAAGAATTTATTATTTATATCTTTTAAACTATGAATTAATTTTCTTAATTTGAAAGGAGTTTATTTCATGATTTAATTTATATTGTATTATACTTATTTTCGACTTAATTCTATTTTCAGTATTGGCTGCTATATTAGGCGCTGTCCCAATTATAGGCACATATTGGGCTGTTCTACCGGGTGCAATTGAGATTATTATAATTCGTCAGTCATTATCTCAAGCTGGTCTTCTCATACTTTTCCATTTGTTGCCAACATATGTCGTTGATATTTCAGTTTATAGAGAAATTAAAGGGTAACAAAATTTATTTCTGTTATTTATTATTAGTAAATAATTATTTTGTTTGAAATGAAACTGCGTTTAGTCTTGAGAACAAAGTGTTTATTCAATCGAGGTTCCGTTGTCAATATTATTAGTTTCTTGAATCCCATTCAGCTACAATTGAGTGAAGTAAATAATTACAGATTTTCAGTGTAATTTTCGTAAATGTATTTCTATGCTGTATTATTTGTATTATTGGTCGAGTAAGAAATTAAAGTGCAATTCTTTAGACTATTTATGTGTATATTAGGATTTTGCTCTCCTCATAATGTTATATTATGAACACCACCGTTCCTATTTGTTAACTATCTTAGGCTCCAAAAGTGAGGAAGACTGATAAATACTGAATAATTTATTTGTCGCTGTCAGAGATGTTGGATTAATGACGAATATACTATTTACAATTATATAGTTCAGTTTTTAGCACCAGATATTAAATATGCAACTTTATATGGTTATTGCTTTTATGATTGGTATTCGAAAAATCTAAATTATCGATAAAAAATATACTACAGTACGTTCTGGTCGTACTTTCGGGAACTAAAACACTTTTCTGTGCAAAGTGTTGTGGCTAGTTGGCACAGTTTATAATGAGGCGTTAATTGAATCCGACAACTAACCAGAAGGAGTTATGTCATTTGGTTGTCTTATCTTACAGACTCAGATATTGCAGATTCTGTGACCAAAAATAATTCCTCTTATCGATTCTTTATCTGTCTTTTTCATGACAGCTTTTTTCTACAGATATGTTTGGTGATAGATATTTGTGGCACACAGCACTTGTAAGAGTCAAAATCCATACTTTTAAAAATTCAAGTTTTCCAAGGTGTTTTTTCTTAAATACCTATTTGTCCCACAGCTTTGTGTTCTATGTAAAGCACAAAAGAAATTCCCAAACGAAAAGTTTAGTGAGCTCTATATTTTTTAAGACATTTTGTGTGCTGATGTTTACTACTTAGTCACCAATCTTTTATTACAATGCGAGATTTGTGAAGATTATTCAGTTTGGAAATCGTTTAAGTTGAGGACTGTGTTGACCTAGGCAACTGTCGTAAACCATCGGGGATTATACGGCTGTTTGTCCCGCTATAGGACACATCAGTAGTCCAACTTTACGACTCTATCAACGATCGAATCCACGCCATACAGCAAGCGCTCTATCATTAGCCTGTTGTTTAATGGTGTCCATTTTTCTGAAACCAGCCAATCCACTGCACTGCGTGGCCATTATCTTTTACCATAAGTAGCACCTGTCTTAATCAATAAAGTGGTTAGATTTTATCAATAAGGATTCTCATTAGAACTTATCAAATTTTTCAAAAAATGCGACACCAGATTGTTATTTTGTTCTGTTTAATGCATTTAATCCCTAGTTTGCATTGGATTTCTGTGCCGTTTGTTGAAATGTAATAAGGATTTAGTTTTTAGAATAATTTCTCTTGTGTACCGTACACTTGTAATAAATAATAGTTTTAACTTAGAACTTGAACACTTTATCTATACGTTTACTTAAAGACTGATAATTGAGCTTAACATAAATCATCTACCTTGTATATGTTTGCTCTCTAGTGTATGAGTCTCATATAACGTAAGACGGGTTGTGGCTCTTACTAGATCTCATAAGCCCTGGTAGATGAGTGTAAGCTAATACTCTTTATTGAACCATTTTATTCATTTTAAAATCAGTTTATATGACTACTGTCATAAATTAACAAGAAATAGTATAAGGTTGGTGCTCTGACGAACATTTCCACCAATCATCTAAAGCCATGGTGGTGTATGGTGAAACCACTCACAACCATTCGAATATGATAATTATATATTTTGCGCTTTTTTTCAGGGCGGGTCATCCTTATTTTACCGGTTTGGCGATTGCTGGTGGAATATACTGTCAAGGTCCTGAAGGTGCCATAATTGGTCCTATTCTACTATGTTGTTTTTTGGTTGGGATAAATATGTTTCGATGGGCGATGGATTCTAGTAAAAAAGCGTTAGCTGCTGATCAATGTGAATATAACTCTCACTACTCGCCTCCTACTTCGCCAACTACAGTGCATACTTATAAAGCTTGTATTTCATCAGTCATGTCCGATCGTTTCCACGACGCAAACTCATTTAGCAAGTATTCCAACCCATCTACAAAGTTTCGTAGACCAATCTTCAAACGAAGACCAAAATACCGATTTAATAAACATTCATTTTCTATGCCAGGTAAGATGTCGAGTTTTTGTAACCTGATTCGCTTGACATTCTTATGAACTACTATGGGTAGTCTTTTTGAAAGTATATAATCGTACAATCCACTGTTCAATATGTTACATTTTGGTTCAATTTTGAAGATATTTGTGCTTATAAGTCATAAAAATGTTTGAATTCATTAATGAAAACTAAATAAACTCGATTCAGTATGGCCATCTCAATTTTGTTATTGACATGATTTCAATGTGGTTACCTATTTGGACTTAGTTTAACTCGAGACTATGATTACTTCTATGGGAAGGATTTCCAACTCATCAGTTTTGTTGTATTACCTTTTGATTACCTCAATTTAAATTCCTAAGAGTGTGTGTTTGCAGAATTCCTCTTGAATCGATAGCATCAATATGAACTCAGAAAATGAACGAATAAATTAAGGATTTAGTGATCTATTAAGAATCCTAAGAATGTCTTTCTGAATATTATCACAGTCACTTGAAAACCTGATCTCAGTCAGTTGGAAGCGAAGTAGAACTCGGTGTAAACCTGCATCAGTTTGAATTTGTCGCAACACTACAATACAACGGGAAGTAACAAACCATCAAAATGCTTTTAATAGTATTAAAAGCAGTAGTACTGTCAATCGTAGAAAAAAAACAGATTAGAGAATAGAGAATATCATTTGAGAAAATTTCAGTTTGATAGGAAGGAGAACGCATCCTAAACATGTTTGTTATGTTGCTCAACGTTATCTTAAAATGATGCATTGCCAAACAGAACTACGTCATCTGCATATTTTAAATTGTTATATAAGTAGTCAGATGATTGTCATGTTTTTTAAAGTTGGTATATATATATATATATATATATATATATATATATATATATATATGATTTTGATTTGAAAAAATAATTTGGATAACGTGTTCTCAATATTTCCTTAAACAGACATTTCGGACATATCTGACGAATCATTTCAAACTCCACAAATTAAACCTCACACAACAAAGGTAAGTTCCCAGTATATATATAATCGTTTCACTCGGAGCGCCAGATCATCATTAAGAAATGTACTTCGTTAACTACCCGGGGTTAAGTCATCAAACTAAGCCACGTTAATCTATTTTACATCTTTAACAGTAAACTTCGATAGACTAATTCATAACTTCCAAATATAGTGGAATGTTATCATTAGCTTACGTTCTCATACATTTTAATTACAATTTGAGTATAAAATTACAAGCAGCGATTACTAGGGGAGCAAAGAAATAAGCACTACATACATAAAAACAGCTACCAGATGATGATTTAGATTTTTGCCATAAATAATTGCCCACCCTAGCTGCTACCTTGACGTGGTGGTAGGACATGTGCGGAGCTAATTCATCAAAAAATTCCCACAAGAAGGTCGTGCGCGACTGACCTCAAGCAGTTATCCCTTGGGTTTTGCGGTCACGCTTCCAAGTCTCTAAGACCACCATTAATTCGTCTTCTTTTTCAGGTCTCTCGAGAAGAAGTATCCTCCCATGGTCTGGACAGCTTGGAAGTGATAACCGCCCTCATACCTCTATCAGCACCCTTGATCATTTTGTTGATGATCGGATTCCTCTCTCACCTCTTAATAATTCTTCCATCTTCATGACTGGCCCTTCTCATTTATTTTTATCACCACGCACCACCGATGCTAATGATTTGAGTTCACGAAATGTTATTCCTGGTCTCCTAAAACCACGCTCTGAACTGCATGTTGGAGCTTTTAATGTTCGAACCTTGTTTTAAAAAGTTAAACTCTCTGATGTGGTAATAGTTGGAGGTGATTTTAATCCTCAATTGGGTAAATTAAACCAAACCTAAGGGCACAGGTGGGTCTTATGGTGTTGCGGCTCAGCGAACAGATAATAGCGACCGTCTGTTGAAACTATGCTCGGATAACCACCTATTTCTGGCAAAAATAATGATAAACATCATCTGACGTAGCGACTTCCACAATCTAATAGGTCACATTGCACATATTCATCGTTGGAGGGACTGGATCGTAGACTGTTGCTTATTTTGGATCACATATTTTGACTCGGATCATGCGCTAGTTCGAGCACGTGTTTGTCTGCGTCTTACCGGTTGTAGAAGAGCCATTGTAAGAAAACCCCTTAGAGTCCAACTTAATGATGATAAAGTTAGGAATATATTTCAGGGACAACTAGAGAAGGAGCTAGTCAATCGCGAAAATGATATCCCTCCCGAAGAAGCTTAGCATGATATCCAAAGAGTTATGGAAACAGCTGTGATATCTAGTAGCTCAAACCAAAAGGTTAGGAAAGATCAGTCGATTTCAGCAGCGCCTACAGAACTGATAGATGCTTTGGAGCTTAGTCCGTGTGGCTCAGAACACGATGTGGAACGTAGTCAGCCTAAACATAGGTTGATCAAAAGCCTACACAATGATCCTGAACAGTTGTGGGTAGAGAAATCAGAAGAGATGGAAAAGGCAGTGGTGTTGGTTAAAAGTAGATAACTGTTGAAATTTATCAAGGAAACGGATATTAAAAATCCGGCTGTCAGTGAGACTATCTCAGAAAACGACTGGACTGTTGTCCAGGGACTTGACAAATGCGCAGAACAACTTAGTGAACAGTTCAACTAGCCTTCATCCAAACTTCAGCTACCCACTATTTCCAAGCAAACTGATGCAAGTCATCCAACAATTAGAGTTTGAAAAGGCTATAAGCAATTTAAAGCGAGGAAGAGCAGCAGGGCTTGGCGGGTCAAACCTTGAGATTTTTAAGAATGGTAGTCAAGTTTTAGCACTTTGAATAATTGAAATTTTAGGTGAAATCTGGGAACTGGATGTAATCTTATCTGACTGGTCGCGATCGCTAATGGTTCCAATTTTTAAAAAAGGACAAAAATCCTCTCGTAAAAATCACAGAGTAATCAGTTTGACTAATATAGTGTCTAAAATATTAGCCTCAATAATACTCCGATGTTTAACTAGAGCTCTTGAAGAGCGAATCCGAGAAAACTAGCCTGGTTTCAGATCTGAACGCGGATGCATAGACCAAATATTCACTCTTTAACAGATTCTGGAACATTGACATATTTTCGACGTCCTACTGTAGTTGTGTTCTTCGACCTTTAGAAAGCGTTCGACTCCATTGACCGTGAAGTTCTATAGCAGTGTCTGTCAGAACTTATGGCGAACTGTCATCGGAATTGGTTACTTCAAGCGGTGTTCGTCAAGGTTGTTCTCTTTCTCCATTTTTATTTAACTGTCGTAAACATGCTTTCGAAGATAATATTTTTATCGTCCGTCTTTTCAAGGGTTAATCTTCTACCAGGAGATTCACTTGTTGACTCAGAATACTCAGATGATATAGTTCTGTTTGGTAACGACTCTGACACAATGGAGTCTTCTGACCAACCTGAGCATGTTTGGGATGCGGTTCTCTCCCTCTGAATGCGAAACGTTGCTTCAGGGATGGCTTGCATCATCGCTTGAATTAATGGTAGGAAGTGAAGTAGTTAAATGTATCGACCGCTTCACTTATCTTGCGAGTCTGATCAGTAGTGATGGTCTAGTGTCTGACGAAACCTCGGCATCTATTCAGAAGGCTCTTAAACAAAGGGTGAATTTACTGCGTAGCAGTTCTCTCCGTTCTACTTTATCGATTTGAAACATGGCCATTAGGAGTGGAGGATATTCGTAGATTACTGGTATTCGATCTTTGGTGTCTATGAGGCATTGGTCGTGTATTTTTGGACCATGGAGTAAGCAACCCCTGGGTTAGGAATAACGTATTAGGTAAGGATGGGAAGTCGATTGATAATGTAGCAGATTTTCATCAACTGAGGTGGTTGGGACATGTTTTACATATGTCCAGCCATATCTTACCTCGACGCGCAATGTTTTCTGGTACGGAAGCAGGCTGGAAGAAATCTATGGGTGGCCAAAGCAAAACATGGTATCAGCCCATAAAGTCACTGACAATTGGACTTGGCCGTGTCAATAGATAAAGACTACCTAGTTGGAGTCGGCGTGATTTTCGTAACCGATGGTTAGAGACTTTGAATAACATGGCTCGAAATCGTTTGCAATGGCGCATGTGCATCCATTCCTTGTTTTCTCCAAATTTTGAGCTTCTAAAATCCCCATAACTTTTTTTGTTTTTATCTCACTAATTTATATTGTCTTCTACAATCGTATCTTCGATACAATTTTTCCTATTATCATTGATAAAGTTACTAATCTACTATACTGGGATCTGACCTCACAATCTCATTTCGGTCTGTTAATGGTGTATGGTAACGAACTGATGTACATTCGTGCAGGTTCTACCTTGTGGCTGACTGACTAAAGTAATAACTATGTATGACTTAAACTGTACCATATTGCTGAAGATTTTAACTTATCATAGCGGGAAGTACTTGTAGATAGACGCATTTCAAATGAGTTGCACTTGACCTTAGCAAGCCCTCTGTGTCACCTGAAGGTATTGGCTTCCATCGCTTTTATGGTTGTGAATGTGCGCTGTTGGGTTGTCCCTTGTGAGACTGAAAAAGTTGTTCAGCACCTTCGTGTTTCCAATTTCCCTAATTAAGATCAGTCAGTGATGTAAGCAGTAATTGCATAAGTCAGCCTAAAATACAGTTATAATACTATTAGTAGTAGTTAAAGTGTTCTTATAACAATCTACTTAACAGTTTGGCTATATTATTTATGATTTTTTCTCTTTTTATAGTATGATTTCATGGTGAGACTATAATCTGTGGACGAACTAATCAGGTATAAGTTAACAGGTCTTGAATTTTGACGCGAAATTTACTCATCCATTTGGCTCAAAGGTCGTCCATAACTTATAGTCTCACTGATTTTATTTAAAAAAGTACTTATAGATGGTGATGCTGTGATTATTCTTAATTTCAGTTGAATTCGCCTGTATCAAGTATACATTTTGCTGCACATTCATCAACTCCTTCACATACATATATACCTTGATTTAAATAACTAATTCACTGATCAAACCAAAACATTCGTTTGTTCGTTTTGTCAGAAGAAAGAAAACGTCTGTGTGTGTGTGTTGAATTCCTTCTCAACATTTCTTGAGGTCTATTTACACTTATATTTATACATAAGAAACAAATGCAACGGAGATGATCGATAATGTTTTAACACTGATTTGGTCTTCTCTGTCAGTTCATTTTCTCCAGTGATTATTCATCTCATTGACTGTCATTTTCCCTCATCTTGACGTTGTTCAAGGAACACTCATGATATATATATATGCATTTTCTGGTCTGGACTTCGTTTCGTTTATTGGAAGAAAACTGATAAACATTTCGAGGAATCAGTTTTCATATTACTTAGATCCTGACATTCGTTTTTTTCTCATTTTCAGATTAAATACATACTATAAGAATAAAGAATATAGAGATTTTATTTCAAATAGATTATTTTTTTTCGCTGTTCATTGTATCTCATTAAAGTTAACTGTTATTTCGACTTTTTCATTCACTTAAAAAAATTATATAAACTAAGAGATACCATAATGATAACGCTTTATATTAAATATTATATGTTATGACTTATTTTATTGGAGGTATAGATTATAATTTGTTCAGTTTACTTAGTTGCTTATGTGCGTAACTTTTATAGCATTGTTAAATTGAATCTAAGATATACACAAGTGTTGCATGAATGATATTGTGTTATCATTTGAACTACTTAAATTTTAATTTAAACAAATTATAAACACAATGCATTGTTTAAGCCTACAAACATCCATACTTCTATTCAAAGAATTGTTTAGGTCTTTATTATCGTATAAAAAATTGTAGATTATTGTGTGTCAACTATGGTTAGACCAGTTAAAGTAACTATTGGTCGATTGTACATTCTTAACTGGATCAAAATATGATTATTATACAAAGAATATCGAATTATTATACAGTAAATGTCTTGGGCTGTTCCATCAATGGTTAATTTAAAGGAAGTATTGTAATATCACTGAGGTGTATTCTTTAATGATCTTCGGTTAAGCGCAAAGATTGTTAAAAAAATGGAAGCTTTTTATTTCCAAGAATAGATCATTGCGTACTTCTGGAGTTCTATAAATTTGCATTTTATGTATTTGTCGTTTAGAATCGGATGAAAATTACAAATTCACAATTAAAATAATCTATTGTGTCAGTGAATAAGAAAAATAGAATTCAGCGAAGAAAATTTTCTTTTCGACGAAATCATTTACTTAAGCTGTTCATTCGTATTTATACTTGATGTCTATAGAAGGATAGAAAAGATTGCATCATAAATTGATTCGAGACTGTTATTATCAAATGAGGTTACACAATAATCAAGGGGTAAGGAAGGAATATAAGGATGAAAATAATTTATAGGTCAGATAATTGTCCAATTGACAGATAAGAAGAAAAATGACAAACATAAAGGTCATAATAATATAAACTGAATAATCAAACAAACTTGTATGAAGTAATAATAATAACTTATTGGGGTTTAAAATTACAAAACAAACAGGAAGAATGTATTTGTAAAATCTGAGCGAAAGAATTCGAAATCCAACGTTTCGCCTGGCAATCTGACTCAACAATAATTTAAAAAGTCAGTAATAATCAAATAAAGATGAAGAAAAAAAGGAAAAACCCGGGACATATCAATAAAGGGAATTAGGGCCAAGGAAGGATGAGAGGTTGGACGGATCGTTTCTGCACACAAAGTTATTTCAAATATAGTTTTTACATATAATGACTTCTCTTTACTCGGCGTCCGATTTCTGTCAAACTATTCGTTCTAATCTTGACGAATATTCGTATAAATTCATACAAGTTTGTTTGGTTATTCAGTTTATATTATTATGACCTTTATGTTTGTCATTTTTCTTCTTATCTGTCAATTGGACAATTATCTGACCTATAAATTATTTTCATCCTTATATTCCTTCCTTACCCCTTGATTATTGTGTAACCTCATTTGATAATAACAGTCTCGAATCAATTTATGATGCAATCTTTTCTATCCTTCTATAGACATCAAAGTATAAATACGAATGAACAGCTTAAGTAAATGATTTCGTCGAAAAGAAAATTTTCTTCGCTGAATTCTATTTTTCTTATTCAAATTCATAATTGTTTATTTGCTAGGTTTGAAGCTATCACGAGTTCACTTAATCTGCGAACGAGAGCAGACTCAGTGACCAAAGACCAGTAAGCTAGCTGTTTGATACATCCCAGCCCCGCTAACTAGAGGGAGAAGTCCAAGCTTGGAATGGGAAAGTATATTCTGCAAACAGCCAGAAACGAGCGATCCACAAACATAATTCAAACGTATATATATCAATTATATGTATATAATCGATATTACCATGGAAGTATTTTTAAACAATCGATTATTTCGTCAATCGACTGCCATAGAAATATTTAACATTTAATCGATAAGAATAGTTAATTAACAATTATACGGTAAAATGTATGTATAGTATTGGTCCACAAATGGATCCCAAAAATTACCACTAGTTATTCCTATCGGGGCATAACGTTATTCATAACGCTTCTTACAGCTTAACAACTAGATATTTTCCTAACAATTGAATATGTTTTGTGTTGTTTGCTACAGTTTGTTGGCAGCGGACGACTCGAAATAATTTCACTCAAGATTAAAAATTATACTGAAAGTCACCAATATACTTCAAAATATATGTAGATATACTCTTGAAATTAACCTAATCTAATGACTTATCATTCTTTCTTCATGTCATTGATAAATAATTCCTTTAACCTAACAATAGTCTCAAATAAAATAGAGTTTTGTGTAACTTCTTAGTTGCATTTGCATGTAATAAAGTCCGTTTGTTTTGATGGAGGATGAAATATGATTAGATCGGTAAGCTGTCTAGAACACTTTAAGTGTTCCATTTTTTTTCGAACGCTTGATTATTCTTTAATTATTCTTACTAAAATACTTAATATGTAATGGTTTGAATTGTCCTGTTATTGATTTTTTTAAAACTAAGTTCGTACCGGTCACACAAGCCATTTGAACTCAGTAGCTCAGTGGATAAAACTATCAAAGTGCAAAACAAAGTGTGCTTTATTTGTGTCCCTGCTCAAAAAATCATGCTCCAATGCAGGTACATTCAGCCAACTAGGATGAAAGTCGCGTCTTAAATTCAACTCTCAGCCGTACTCGATCAATATTGTCGAAATAGATTTTTTTTTAATTTCGTGTTGTTGAAATCAATTCGAAGATTAATTACTTTGTTCAGATTATCATGAGCTATATTTGCCAGATAAATAACAATTCAGACTATTTTTTTCTTCTTGCCTTTTGAGATAATTATTTGCCTTGTTATCACTTAATGATGTGTATTTAATGACAATAATAATGATAATAATAATATTCACCTTATGCAGTAACGTATATTTAATGACTGCAGTAAGAAATTCTCAGCACAACATCTGTGATTTTCAAAATTTACATTTAACTTGTCTTTATGTAAAGGTATGTATAAGTAAACTATTTTTAACAATGGTTGCTCGTCATTCATCTTCATCAGTCAGCTTTTTACACCAATTCCGCAAGTACAGCATTTTGTTTCAAATGATATTTTGATGAATGAATCTCAAAAGCCTTTTTCGCCAAACAATAGCCAAGAGTGAATATATGTATCAAACTCGTTTGTCTTTCCTCCTGAATGTTTTTAATATTAAGCATTGCAAAATATCAACTTTTTACATAAGCCGATGAGTACACTATCCGATGTACAAACATAAACACTTAATTAAAAACAAATCAAAACAGGAAGATGCATTTCAATGCTTGTGTTGTTAGTTTAAGGGTCGTTATATATTGCATGATTTCAAGCTTGGATGAGCTGAATAAGTATATCGAAACCAGTCTGTAGCCATTACTATTGTTACACACTTACGTGATTTATTATAACTTTTGAATGGATGCATTATTCTAATCTTTCCAATTATTCTGTCATTCATATTATGTTTTTGTCAATTACATGTAGCTCTGACTGTGTTTTATACGTGCATGTATGATAGCACGTTTGCGTCTATCCATCAGTAATTTTAAATAGCATAAAAACTGAATCACATTATTCTGAGTCGTATTACGGGCTCCGATACTTATACAATCGCTCCACAATTTTTTGCTTGTCGCCTGTTTAATATTATGTACAAAATATACGTATTCTAAATACATTTGATATTCTACTTTTTGATATGCCGTTGTTCTAAACATGTCAAGTTGAGAGAATATATAAAAAGTCAACTAAGAAGCTATAGTTCATTAACACCACCATTTCTCATCTACATCAAACAGAGACATGGACACAAGTCAACCTGTATAAGTGTCATTAACAAGGTTTGACTTGATAATTTCGAGTGAATTAAGCGTTGGAAATAATATATTAGTAAAGTCTCAATGAATAAAGAAAATAAATTTCTGACGTTTTTTGACTCAGAGTAAGCCACTTCTTCAGAGGATTTATTTTTGTTTCCTGAAAAAATGGCTTACTCTAAGCCACGTAACGTTAGAAATTTAATTTAATAGTCATTGAAACTTCACAAAATAATCATTTTTATTATTAAGTTAACCTTTATTCATAATTTTCATCATGTAGCGATTGTCTCCATCAGGCTTCCCATTGAGTTAACATTCAGTGGCCCATATACCAACTTCAGTTATATCTCTATATTGCGCGATTATCATCCGTTGCCATTAAAAATAACTCAATCCTTAAAATATTGATGGTAAAGATGGATAACTGTTTGAAATATGTAACATTCTCATTGTAGTTGTGTATAAGCTTACCTTCATTATTTGCGTTAATGAGCTGAAAAGACTTACATGTTCGATTTATTTTGAGGATAGAGTAACTCATTTTTAATGTTATAGCTTAAAATATCAACATAACCGTATCTGTACTTGCTTAACTGAAAAATGAATGGCAATACGGATTTATAGGATTGGAA